TGATTGGCTCGTCTCCTCCCCACAACCCCTCAGCAAGGGGGTGTTCAGTTGCCTACCAATGGACTCTGAGTCTCCACTCTGCACTCACCCACCTTGACAATGACATGGTTTCTTGTTCCTTGAGGACATGCTTTTCTCAGATGAAGATTCAAACATTTGAAACATACGTTTTCTACCCATTTAAAAAAAAGTGTATGACTTTATTAATGACAACTTATTTTAAATTCAAAGAAGAAGATGATTTCTGATGCCAAAGTTGGGGACAGATTAGATTTCACAAACTACTTGCATTCATCATGGCATTTGCTCTTTCTAACAATCCTGTGAATATTCCCTGTGTTGCTGGAAGTAAACTGAAACACAGAAATCTTAGTTAATTTATGACAGTAACAGATTGATATTGTAAGCTGCATCTTTAACCTCTAAAGATAAAAACTCTGAATGTTAGAAATCGAATGACTTTATCCCAAACAAACAACCCTCATGGCCATCAGGTCAGTTCTTACTGATAACCACCCTGTGGAGTAGAGTGGAACTCCCCACTGGCTGTCAATTGTTCCAGGAGCAGAAAGCCTCATCTTTCTCCTGTGGATCCGTTAGTTGGGCTGGAGCCGCTCACCTCGCAGCTAGTAGCCCATGTGTAATCCTCTACGCCACCAGGGTGCTTGCTATTTAATGTAATCAAGGCTTTCCTTTGTGAACTGATTTTTTTTTTGGGGGGGGGGGGTTCTGAGTTCGAATAGCCTAAACTGGGTATGTTACATCTTCTGTGAGAAGGAACAGAGAACACGAATAAAATTTAACATATGACTCACAGGCTGTTTTTTTTAAATGTTTTCAGATTTTATTCACTGAAATAAAATAATGAAAACGGTTCCCATAATTTAGTGATACATCAGCCCCAGAGTGACTGGCGATGTTGGCGTCATCGATTCCAGTTACCATAGTTAGCATGGCTTGGTCTGTGAATATAGAATTGGGTCTGTAGTTCAGACTGACTCAGGACATTAAGTCACAGACACTCGGGTTTCATTAGAACTGGAAGAATGATTCCGTTGCAGCAGAATCTCTCCCAGTCGTGCAGATGTGACCATAAAATCTGATGCTTCCGCTCGTAGATATTCATTGAAAACTATCTTTAGATGAAGTGATAATTAAAGGAACACATATATCCCACACATGCATTTAACCCTCTTGTCCACTATAATTTTGCTGTCTGGCCTCAGAAAGGAGAGAAGAAAAAAAACTCCGCAATCCTTTTTACGTGTGTGTTTGTTTCTTGTTCTCAAGCAGATCGGTATCACCTTTTCTTTTGAGTCCAAATTTCTTAGAATTTGTTTATGTCAACGACTCTTGACAAAAGGATAAAATGTTTCCAGAAAGCACATGGGTTTGGAACTCTCTCTTGTTATATTTGCTTTAGGCTTTATTTTAAAGGCAAGTGAGACTGCTTCAAGTAAATCAACTCCAAGCTTCCAAGAAAGCACTAAGCGAAGCAAGAGACGAGCAGAAACACCGCCTCACTGCCACACACGCAGCTGCCATGGACCTCCAGAAGCAGTGGGAGAGCACAGCGGCTGACTGGCACAAGGAAAAGATGGAGCTGCTGGACCAGTTTGATAGCGAGAGGAAGGAGTGGGAAAGTCAATGGAAGATTATGCAGAAGAAGATAGAACAGGTACAAGCTGATTTGTTTTGAATGTATTGCAAATGTCCAGCTCAGAATTAAAATTAGAAATCTTTTATTTGTTTTTAGTTCAACCTAATAGATGCATATCTCAGTACTATTTACTAGACCAAAGGTCATCACCTTAGCTGGAGGTATCTTAAGACCTCTCTTTCTTTAATTGCCTTAAATGGAAATTAAGAATTTGAAATGCCATCCCCACATGTATCAACTTAAAATCTCATGGCTGAGAACCTTTACATCAAAAACAAGCTCTGTGGTTTGCATGTATTTTAAAACACCAGGGCCTGGGGGAAAATTCAAAAGGGACTGTGTATGAGTGAAATGGCAACTGGTCATTAGAATATAGATCAGCAGTTCTTAACCTGTGGGCCGTGACCCCTTTTGGGGTCAATGGACCCTTTCACAGGGGTCACCTAAGACTGTCGGAAAACACGTATTTTCGATGGTCTTAGGAACCGAGACACATTGCTCCTCTATCCGTCTCCAGGCGGGGGTTCACCCACATGCAGATCCACCCACATATGAGTACCCCGTGTGAAGATTGTTACCCATACACCATGCCTCAAGACAAAATTTCATTTATTTGTCATTAGAAATAAATAGTTCACGATATATAATTACATGTTGTTTTTGTGATTAATCACTATGCTTTAATTATGTTAAATTTGTAACAGTGAAAATACATCCTGCATATCAGATATTTGCATTATGATTCATAACAGTAACAAAATTAGAGTTATGAAATAGCAACAAAAATAATGTTACGGTTGGGGGCCACCAGAGCCTGAGGAGCTGTATGAAAGGGTGGTGGCATCAGGAAGGGCGAAAACCACTGACCTAGAGCTTTCCTTTCCCGTGACGATGGATGGATGGATACCGAGGTCTACACAGGGATAGCTGGTGCACATGCAATGGTTCAAGTGCTTGGCTGCTAACCTGAAAGGTTGGAATCACAACATTTATTCTGGGAGGATAAAATGCCATCCGGAGCAACTCCTGACCCTCCGGGAAGCTTCGTTCCTCACAGTCGCCCACAATCCTAGAAGCGCAGCGGAAAAGTCAAGTGAGACAGGATTTGTCTATATGATAGCATGTACCTTCTGTCTGGTTAAATTTGCTGCATTCAGATAATTACACTGAAAACTTTGTAGACTCCATCTCTGGTCTTGGATCTTAGTCTGATGATCAGGCATTAAGCGTATTTTAAACTGGGTGATTTTTCATATAGATGCTGTCATTTTTAAGACACTTGAATCAGATACATAGCCAACAGCACCTCCAGGGCTGTTTATAGGTAGGTCCGGGTCTGTTTGACTTTTGAGAGTTGATTTGTGGTCAGAAAGGTACCACTAAAAGTCTTTTAAGGTTTATCAAAGGTATTCCAACTCACCAGATTTTAGAGATGCTGTTTAGAAACATAAGCATATGGTGTTGCGAATAGTTTAATGCTGCAGCGGCTGATAGGGCTGAGAAGACCCATGCCACCTTGGGAAAAAGGTCGGGAAATCTATTTCATAAAAATCGGCCATGAAGAACCCGAGGGAGCACAGCTGTATGACACTCATGGGTTTGCCACAAGTCTGAGTCGACTTAATGTAATTGATTTTTGATAGTCGCTAGGTGGTATTAGCAGTTAACCCCCTCTGGAGAGGGGCTTGAATTGACCCAGCGGTTCCTCCAAAGATGGGCCGGGTCAGCCACTGAGAGCCCTGTGGTGCACAGCTCTGCCCACCGTGGATTGGAGTCAACTCCATGGCATCTGGTTTAGTTTAAGTGAACTCCTACCCAGAGCAAAGAGCACTCAAAACTGTATGCTTAGTACCCAAAGTACAGTTTCGTTTTTATGTTCTTTCTAGCTTTGCCAAGAAGTAAAGCTTCGGAGGAAAAGCCACTTGAACGAACGAACTAAGCCCATTGATCTGGATTGTGAGAAGGTCCTTCAAGACAAAGTGGTAGACTTGTTTCCAAACGAACTTGAATTTATAGGGATGAACCACAAACTTGGTCTGGAAAGAAAAAATAAACCAGAACAGAGCTTCCTCACTGGAGGAGAATACATGTATAAGGAACAAAAAGCAAGAAAAATGTCAGAAGTAGGGATTACAGCTTCAGACAAGCAAAAGGAAGGTGAAGCCTGCCCTGCCCTGAGGACCTCTGAGGAGGAGGGCACGAGCTGCTCCGGCGCCCTCAGCACAGTAAGTAGCCTCATCCTGGCCCAGAGCTGTTTCTGAAGAAATATTTATCGTTCAGAATCCTAACATGCTATTGCTTATGTGCATACAGGCCCTTGAAGAGCTTGCCAAAGTGAGTGAAGAATTGTGCAGCTTTCAAGAAGAAATCCAAAAACGGGGTCACCACAGAAGGTAGGCTGATACAACTCTATGATAACTTTATGTTGGACACTCAAGAATAGTGTTTTTAGTTAATAAATCGAAACTGCCTCTGACATATACTCTGTAAATGCTATATGAATTATAAAACTCTGTTACCGTGAATGGTTAATAGAAAATCTAATGATTTATTTCTTTGTTTACTAATTCCCTACCACAAGCCTTCCAACTTGATTATTAATAATAACTTTACTCTTTTGGTGTTCAGTTAAGGTAAACACCCTCCCCCCACCACTCCTCCACCCCAGATTCCCACAAGAAGTTAACAAGTGTCCTTCTAATGTGGTTGTTTTTCATTTCCAGTATCTACCCAGTTGAAGTGCATGTAACTGGGCTAATAGAGTTAAACACAATGTAAACTATGCCAGATTTAACAATACCATGTTAGATAGAGTTCGTATTGATTCACTATGGAAGATATGATGATGTTTTTTCCTTTTCTTTTTTTTTTTTTTGGCTATTAGGAAGCTGTGATACTTTTTGTTCTTCATTACAATAGATGTTCATAGCCAACCATGATTTAGTTATACTTTTACCCTGTTCTTGCCCATTTAAATATTTGCTGCTATTCTCTGTTAGTATCATTTATCTACCTCCACTTTATTGTAAACTATCTCATAATATTGTATAAGTTGGAGTGATACAAATAAATCAACATGCGTAGTTATTTTTGAATTCACATCGTGGCTATTTATAGATTTTTATTTCAGTAACTCAGAAAAGACTTGTCAATGTCCTTCTAGAATCATCCCTTAAACAAACTCTTAAGGCTCTTTCATGACCTTTAAGAAAAAGTTCAAAATCCCAAGTATGTAATTCAGAGACATTCCAATTTAACAGTGACCTAATGTTTCACTCTTAACTCCCATCTACCTCCCCATTCTGCTTGATAACGCATCTACACCAAGGTACTCATTGTCCCTTGAGTAGTCACACTTATCGGTCTTTCCGTGTACTTTGTTTCTTTTTATTAGGTACCTTCAAGGCAGTGCCAACTCATAGAGACTCTTAAGTGCTGCAAAGTGAATCGCTGTCTGGTGCTGTGCCGTCCTCACAATCTCCCTGTTCGAGCCCATTATTGTAGTCTCTGGATCGGTCCATTTCGTTGAGAGTCTGCCTCTTCTTCCCTGACCCTCCACCAAGCATGTCCTTTTCCAGGGGTTGGTTCCTCATGAGAAAATGTCCAAAGTTCGTGACACGAATTCTCACCATACTCCCTGTACTTTTTCCAAAATCCTGATTGAACCAATTCCCAAATCCTGGCTGTACTTCCAAAATCCAAATTTGTTTGTTCTTCTCACAGTGCATGATATATGTAATGTTCTTTAGCACTGCCACAATTTAAGGGTTTAATTATTCTTCCTAATCCATTGTTCAGCTTTCAAATATGTATGAGGCAATTGAACACACCATGCCTTGGGTCAGGACCACCTTAGTCTTCCGAGTGATAGCTTTATAATTCCGTAAAGAGGTATTTCGCAACAGATTTTCCGAATGCAATATGTTTGATTTCTTGACTGCTGCTTCTACTGGTGCCAATGGTGATTCAAGTAGAGTGAATCCTTGGTATGTTTAATCTTTTCTCCATGTATCTTGATGTTGGTCCAGGAGCCCTAGTGGCATAGTGGTTTATGCCACAAGGTCAGCAGTTCGAAATCACCAACACTCCATGGGGGAGAGATGAGGTGCTCTATTTTGTAAAGAGTTACAGTTCTACTGGGTCATAGAGTGTCACTATGACGTGATATTAGCCATGAGTTTGCAGTTTGGTTATTGGTTTAATTGTGAGTATGTTTGCTTCCTTTACGTTGTGGTGCGATCTAGTGAAGGATGTAGTCTGTGATCTCCATCAGTAAGTTCTTAAGTCCTCTTCCTTTCAGCAAGCAAGGTTGTGTTATCTACATATCACAGATTGTTAATGAGCCTTCCAATCCTGATACTGTGTTCTTTGTATAATCCAGCTTCTCACACTACTTGCTCAGCATACAGATTGAGTAAGTGTGGTGAAAGGATAAAATTCTGATGCACACCTCCCTGGTTTTAAACCATTCCCTATCCTCTTGTTCTTTTTGAATGACTGCTTCTTGGTCTATGTGTAGCTTCTGCAGGAGCACAGCCTTGCCTGTATGTTCTGGATGCATGCATCAGATTCTTACTAGGCAGAAGACTCTCTTTGCAGCTACTCACTTCTCACTGGGCTTTTATTCAGATGTATCACACTACTTAAAATATTTCAAATTCTGAGTTCACCTTACATAATGGATGGTAATTCAAAAAGCAGAGCAAAGGTAAGTGTGCATCCTAGGCAAGGAATGGCAAGATAAAATCTATAGAAACAGTAATGCCAATAGTAAAAGCCCAAGACACTACACCAAGGAGCTTCAAAAAGTTCCTGGAAAAATAGTTTTAATTCCATTTGGAACTTTTTGAAGCCCCCTCATCTGTTCTGGTCTGAGTGTAGGTGAAGATTTAGGAATGGAAAAATTGAGGTTTCAAAAATAGCTTGGGTCAGAGTAAATAGGGCGTTAAATACAACAAGGAAAAGTGGTCTTTATTACATAGTAAAAGGGACTTGAAGTCATTGAATAGAAAGGTTATTTTGAAATTAGGTTTGTGGAAGTTGTGACTCCTTTTCCTGGAGCAGAAATCCATTGCTTAAGCAACAGTGACTCTGGAGAACACATGCTAAGTAAAGTTATCACTGATTTGCCATGTTTTATATTTTAGGATGAAGTCTGATTCTTCTCTCCAGATCATGCCAAATGTAATTAGTAAGCCTCCTGGGGACCAGATCCTTAGCAATGGCATTCCTCCAGTAGATGTAGGAAAAGATAAGCAGAAAAATAGAAAGAAGCTGAACTATACAGATTTGCTCCAGGGCAATTCTAGGGGGAAATGCGGACATGGCACAACTGATTTGCAAAGAAATGCAATTCCACCTGTCCCTCCTCCAAGAAGCACCTCTAGAAACCTGCAGCCGATCCCCTGTGCTGAAGCAAGAGGAGCCCAGGCAGCGTTCTTGGGAAGTTCCGACCGCAGTTGGGTTGACCAAGAGGATCAAAGCGAGGAGAACTGCAATCCGCATTTCCTTCTGAGGGAAGGAGAGACTGTGAAAGATGGCCTCATATTTTCTTCTTTTGCACAAGAAGCCAAAATAGATAGTACGCCTCTGTGTAATGAAGATACTGGACTTCACATGTGGTCAAGCAGCATTGGAGTTGGTGTAAAAAATAGCCCTTCCTCATTATGGTTACAGAAAACCTGCTCTACTCCCAGTAAGCCAGGATCTGAGAAGGTGATCCCAAATCATCCTGCCAAATCTCACCCCAATCTTTATGTGAGCTATGACTGTAACTCTCCCGTGAGACAAAGCAGTAGCCCACTGACTAGTTTCAGATGCAGCTTTGAAAGGACCACAAGGAATGAAAAGTTAGCAGCAAAAACTGATGAATTTAACAGAACTGTATTTAGAACAGATAGAAGTTGTCATGCAGTACCGCAAAATCAAAGCTACTCAAAATCATCTGAAGATCCTAAGCTCTGTGACACCTTAATGGCTCATGCAGAGAACATACCAGAAAATGACCATGTGTCTGGTATTCTGAAAACCAGTGTCCACATGCCTGTGCCCACAGAAAATGTGCCTGACGATCTAACCAAAATAGTCTCAGCGGGTCAAGTCAGACAAATGCAGGAATACCTAAATCCAAGCAGTTATCGAAGTAGGCTCCATGAACATGACTGGAGACCAAGTAATTTGTCTGGCCGTCCAAGGTCAGCTGATCCTAGGTCAAATTATGGTGTGGTGGAAAAGCTGTTGAAAACCTATGAGACATCAGCAGGGTTGCCTGTGGAGAATTCTAAATGCTCCCAGGAGAGTTGGACTAAATGTATCCATAATGTCAGTGGTGGGACTACATTAAACCAGCATTTAGAAATGAGCCAAATGGAACAAGACCTGGGAAGTCCAGTTCTTCATGGGAGTCAGCAAGTGAAGAAAGGAATTGATCGGAAAAAGATGATGGAGGTGAGAAAATCACAGTATTTTGTTAGCATTGTGTCCATATTTAACAGTAGCTTAGAGTTTAGCCATCAGTTCTCCAATCATAAATAGAATCCAGGCACATATTTTGGCATCTTCTAACCTTGACCCATCATTTGTGAAAAACTAGGAACTAACTTGTAACTTAGCATGAACTTTAGGTAGAATAACAAGTATATGGTAAATAGGCTTAAGAATACAAAGATGATCAAGTGTTTTTAAGTCTCTTGAAGGAGTGCTCAGAATTTTTGTTGGTTTATAGAATTTTAAGGTGCTATTAATATTAAAAACATAAGGAAATAATTGTTAAATAGTTGGCACTTTTCGATTGGTAATTTAATTCAATTGGCTAGGAGCCTGGGGGGAGGCGGGGAGATGGCCTCCAGATAGGTAGCTAATGCCCAGAGCTCCGAGGAGATTGGTGAGTGGGGAGAGTTGGGGGCGGAGTAGGGGTATCAAGTCTGTATGTCGATTCCCAAGACCACTCAGAGCATCTCTCTGACCCAGAGGTGGACTCCCTTCCATCGCCATCGCTCCGTGCGGACGCCCTTTGGCCTCTGGTGCCACGCTCCAGGCGCCCGCTCTGCCTAGACCGACCAGCGCCACAGGGCAGCCAGGTGCACGGCGGAGGCAGCAGCTGGCCTCAGCGCTCTGCGCAGAATCGCCAGCCTTTAACCCCCACCCTGCCTCAGGGTGTCCGGGGTCGGTCCGTGTGGGTGCTCCAGCCGGCATACCCCCCCTCCACCCCCACCCCCGCAGATTCGGGTCCCACCCGAGGAACCCCTTGCGGTCCAGTGGGCCAGACCCTCCCCACTTCTCCCGGGAGGCACGCGCCCGACGATGCCACAGCGCAACCAAGCTGAGGCTGCAGTCCTGGCTTAGTGCCCCACGCAAACCGCCAATCAGACCTGCCCGCACGCTCAGAGATCTCAGCCCGGAGGTGCCCGCCCCGTCACTGCGCTCCTTGCAGACCCGCCAGCCAGCACCCCCCTGGAACCCCCAGCAATACACGCGCACGCCCACACGCAGAGGTTCCCATCCTGCCACACCACTTCAGGGCTGCCAGGTGGCGGACACAAGTCTGGCAGAACTTTCTGCAGCTGCGGCACAGGGACCCAAGCCTTTGGGGCTTGCTCACTGCATTCTCCCTTCTCCCTGCTCACTCCTTCCCACCCTTGGTGCTCCAAGCTGTGGATCTGCACGCCAGTCTCGGCCCCCCTTCCACCTGCCCACCTGAGGGAAGTACCCCTAGCCAGAAACAGATCACCCAATCCCCAACCCATCCCCTAAATATGCTCCCCTGCACTGGGGCCAACACTACCAGACCTCAGCATGCACAGCTGCAAACAGTCCCTAAGGAGACCTAAAGGTGACCGGAGCACAAACCATAGGCCAGGGCGGGAGGGAATCCCCAGCAGGACAAAGGTGAAACAAAACCCCTCCAAACAGTTGGCTAACAGCAGCCAGCTGAAACACCAACACCAACCTCCCAAGGCCCTGAGACACCTGGGGAAATGGTGCCTAGTTCCAGTAAATCGACCCAAAACCAGCAAGCTCCTTCCACAGTTTCAACAAGAAAAGAGGAACAAATAAATTCGATTGGCTCAGCAATTTTTAGCATTTGACTTTTATTTGCACAGGATTAGTCACATTAATATGAATATTAATTTAAAAATTTAAATTATGTTTTGTTAAGTTCCCTTGTGTGGAGCCAAAAGACAGTGCAGTGGAAATAAAAAGTAATATTATAGTTCTTTATAAATCAAGAAATTCTTATTTATATGTATATTTAGGAGGGAAATTGTCACAGAAATAAAGATTATTAATTTTGCTCTGTTCTATTTACAAAATATTATCATCTTCACTAAGGAGCATTGGTGGCTCTCTCGGGTAAACATTGGACTGCTATCCACAAGGTTGTCAGTTCAAACCCACCAGCCACTCTATGGGAGAAAGATGAGATGTCTGCTCTCATACTGATAACGAAGCCTCATAAACCCTCTCTGGTATCTCTATGTATTGGATTTGACTCAATGGCAATATGGTTGATTTTTCTGGCTTTATACTCCTTAGTAAAGATTATAGGCAGCTCAAAAGAGATTGGTATTTACAGTGAATACCTACCCAATATTACCTTTTTATACATATACTTTTTAAGAATATAACACAAAAGTTACAATGTTATTGTTATTGGATTACTATCACACAGCCCAATCAAAAATTTTTTTCTTTGTGTGTTGGGTTTTCAGTCTGTTCCTGGGGCTATTTGGAGTGCTGATTCAGAAAATTGCATTGGTTAGCCTCTTTCACCTCAAGGTTATTAGATAGAGTTGTCCACTATATTTTCAGATGTTCAGTTTTACTAATTTATTAATTTATCATCCTAGTTTTAAATATGAGAAGAATTCAGACCCACAAATTACAAGATAAGACAAAAAAGGTAAGAAATACTTGAAAAAGAATTAGGTACTAAGGGCAACTGTATATGGACCCAGGGTGACCACTTAGTTACTCCTTGAGCTGCCAATCATAAGGTTCAATGGTTCAAAGTCACTCTGCAGCTTTTACAAGATGTGAGGGTTTGGAAATCCAAAGGGGCAGGTCTTTGGGTCTGCCCTATAGGCACTATTAGATGGCAGTAGGTTTTTATCTTTGGTTTTTTCTTTGGAGGCTGTGCAATATACACGTTGGATACTGCAAATTCAGAACACAGCTCAAGAAAGTAGAAAAGAGAATTGAGAGGTCACATGTGTGAAAGGTATGAGGGCAATTTAGAATGTAGAAAATGTGCGACTTCAGAGAAATGTTCATGAACATTTTTAAGATCTAAATTTTTTCTCCAAATTATGCAGTAAACATTTTGGAACACATTTTAATATATTCAAATCAATGGGTAAATAGGTTGTTAAATGCTCCAGAGGTGAGGGTGACTCCACGTTTCTTATAAGAAAAAATGCTGACTTTTCTTTCCAGAGTTTCTGTGCACATTTGGAGAAGTGGTGCCATCTTATAAAAAGACTGGAATATTTTACTTTTAATAAAGGAGTTTGAACTATGACAGGCCCATCTTGAAGCTCAGAACATTGATTATTTATTGTGCCCAACTCAATACAATTAATTATGACTCATAGCAACCTTATAGGATAGAGTGGAATGCTGTTGTGATTTTCTGAAGCGGTCAAAAGCTAACCTGTGGACAGCAGTCAAACACATAACCCAGTGCGCTATCGGGTTCTTTATTTATTGTACAGTACCTCTTATTTCTGATCCCTTTTTAAGATAACAAATTGGAACTTCCTGCTATTCAGTTCCTAATAAAAGTGAAGTGATACTTGGGGACTTCCAAGTTATGTCATTCGTGCTGTTCAAATATAGCTTTAGATCAAAGGACGCCATGTGAAGTATAACTTGAACTACATATTTTGCGCAACACAAACTACTTAGAATAAAACCAGTGTGCACATCCTCTACCCCGGCTAGCTAACCCTACCCTAAAGTATCCTGTTTTGTTATGAGCAAGCAGAGTAAAGAGTGGGATATGGCATATATTCTATATCTCGAAAACTAGAACTGATAGGGGAAACTGGTGCTGTTTTTTGAATCAGCAGGTCAGCTATACCCAGAAACAAGCCTCACATTGGAGGCCCTACAATGTGTGTCAGCCAGTGTGTTTTACCTGATGCAGTGTATTCAGCATGGTTTTGAGCTCCACAGGCCGCCTCCTTCTATATAAAAAATTGTGTCTTCGAATTCTATAACATCAGTTTTCTTCCATTTTACCAGTAATTATGCTTAGTTGTCCACAATAGGAATAATTACCCTTCTTTGATAGCTCTCCATTTTTACTCTTGGGCCCCTAAATACCTCTAAGGCTTTTTTTTTTTTTTCTTCTCTTTTTTAACATTTTATTAGGGGCTCATACAACTGTTATCCCAATCCATACACACATCAATTGTGTAAAGCGCATT